TCTTTTTTTTTTTTTTTTTTTTTGGTACGCGGGCCTCTCACTGCTGTGGCCTCTCCCGTTGAGGAGCACAGGCTCCGGACGCACAGGCTCAGCGACCATGGCTCACGGGCCCAGCCACTCCGCGGCATGTGGGATCTTCCTGGACCAGGACACGAACCCACATCCCCTGCATCGCCAGGCGGATGCCCAACCACTGCGCCATCAGGGAAGCCCTATTTTGCTTTTATTCTTGAAAGACTTTTTTTTTCTGGATATGGGCTCCAGGTTGACAGTACATATTTTTTCTTATTCAGTACTTTAGAGATGTTGCTCCACTGCTTTCTCACTTGCATTGTTTTCTACAAGAAATCTACTGTAATCCTTATCTGTGTTCCTCAGTATGTAACATGTTCTTCTCCCCCCACCCTCATCCTTTCCAGCTACTTTTAAGATTTTATCTTTATTATTGATTTTGAGCAATTTACTTATAATATGCCTTCGTGTGGGTTTTCTTCATTTTTGTTGTGCTTGGGTTCATTGACACTCTTGTATTTGTAAGTGTATAGTTTTCATCAAACTTGGAAAGTTTTTGGTCATTATTTCTTCAGATATTTTTCTATTCCTCCCTGTTCACTATTTCAGGGACTCCAATTGCACATATATTAAGCATCTTGAAGTTGTCTCACAGCTCACCAAGGCTCTGTCTCTCTTTTAAATTATTATTTTTGTATTTTTATTCTCTATGTTTCTTTTTGGATAGTTTCTACTGCTGTCTTCAAGTTAACTAATCTGTTCTTCTGCAATGTCTACCCTGCTGTTAATCTCATCCGTTGTGTTTTGCATCTTAGACATTGTAGTTTTCATCTGCAATAGCTTGGTTTAGGATTTTTTATATCCTAAACCAAATATCTTTAATATCCAAACCTATATTTATTGTATGTTCCATCTTTCCTCTAACTTTTTGAACAAATGGAGTAGAGTTATAATAACTGGTTTGGCATCTTTGTCTGCTGATTCTAACATCTGTGTCAATTCTGGATCAGCTTCAACTTACTGACTTTTCTCCTCATTATCGGCTGTATTTTCCTGCTTCTTGGCATGGCTGGTAATTTTTACATTGTTTTCTGTCTTTTATTTTTTTAATTTTGAAAACAAGTTTTTTGAAATAGAGTTGATTTACAATGTTGTGTTAGTTTTAGGTGTACAGCAAAGTGATTCATATATATATATACGTGTGTGTGTGTGTATATTCTTTTTTAGATTCTTTTCCATTATAGGTAATTTTTTACTGAATGTCAGACATTGTGACTTTTACCGTGTGGGATGCTGTGTATGTTTGTATTTCTATAGCTATTCTTGAGCTATGTTCTGGCTTGTTTTTAACTCAGAAACAGTTTGATCCTTTCAAGTCTTACTTTGGTGACTTGCTAAGCACATTTGGACCAGTTCTCAATCTGGGACAAATTATTCTCCAAGACTTGCCTGAGTAGGCTGCCCAATGCCCTGTGAAATGTGAATTTTTCCAGCAGGCACTCTTCCCAAATCTGTGTGTGCTCGAAACACTGTTCCCTCTGGTCCTTTTGGGTGGTTCTCTCCCTGACTTTGGGCAATTTCCTCCCACGTATGGGCTGAACAATTCTGAGCTGAGTGCTCATGCTGGACCTCTCCATACCTCCAGAACTCTCTTTGTAGCTCTCTCCTCTACATTATTCTGCCCTGGGTACTCTTAACTTCCTTGATTTCCCCAGAATCTCAGCTCAGTCTCCTCAGCTTGAGGATTTTACCAGACTCAGCTTGGACAATGTCTCCCTGACACATGGCCAGGAAACTCTCAAGGCATAAGCTGGAGCAATCATGGGCTCTCCTTGTGTGTTTTCATTTCTCAGTGATCACTGCCCTTTACTGCCTATTGTCCAGTCTCTTGAAAACCACTGTTTCCGATGTTTTGTCTTGTTTTTCAGTTGTTTTGGGTGGGAAGGTAAATCTGGTCCCTGTTATTCTTTCTTGGCTGGAAACCCATCAGGTACATTTTAAGCTTTGAGTCATCCATCCGCACTTGGCTCCAGAGAATGGGCAGGTACCTTCTCTTCCTCCCACTTAGCAGTGATAGGAGCCTCAGCACAGCCCCCTCCAGAGCAACACTCCTCATGACTTCCCGTCATTACCCACCACCCTACCCTGTCAGGAAGGGGTGGAAGAATCCTTGCAACCCGCTCTTAACATTTTTCTTTGAAAACCCATTTCTTCATCTGGTTCCCCACTTTGGTGTATTATATTTATTTTATCTGTATATCTCAGTGAGGATTAAAGAAGATGATATACATAGAGCCTGGTACATCACAGGTGCTCAGGGAGTATAGATTGCCCCTCATTTCTCTGATTCTGCCAGCCCACCACTCAAACAAGTAAGTCAAGCCTTGAGGGGATGGGGTGCTCAGAGCAACACCTCTTTGCAGTACCAGGTAAAGCAAGAGTCCCTCCCCCCATTTAAGCACCTGAATTAATCCCATCCACAGCTTTCAAACTTAATACCAAAGAGAAATGGACGGCATCCCGTTTTACCCCACAGACTGGATTCAAGCAAAATAAATGGGCACAGAACTAATCCCCACACACCAGGCCAGCCCTAGGGAAATTTGGAAAACAGGCAATTAAGCACGATGGAGCAGTTTGGCCTAGGAGGGAAATGACCTTGCCTACACATTACTCTCTGGTGATCAATAATTCACAGCACTGCCAGCCGAGTGTGCAGCCTCCACTCAGCCTCCCCTCTGACCAGACCTTGCGAGAGGGTCCTGAAGGTCCCATGCTCATCCCCATGTCCCACCCAGGCCTGGCGGTATCAGGGAAAAAGACTCCAAGTCTCCTGAGGGCAGGCTCCCAGGAGATCGGTGCAGCAGCCCAGAGCCAGACCCTCATCTGGGGACACACGTTCATCTTTCAAGGGGAGGCTCCAGGACCCAGCCTTCCACAGTGAGACGGGGTTCTTCTTTCCCACTGGCAGTTCCAAGCCACCCTCTCACGACACTTCCTCCGTGAAGCCTTCATTGATTACTTCAATGCTTGAAGTCATTGCTGAGTCCTTACAGCATTTATTCACCATCCATTAATTTAATTAGAAATTATTGATCACCATTAAGTATCAGGCCTGCAATGGACATTGGAGCAGAGACCAATGACTAACACACATTCCTGACTTCAAGGTCTCAAGTAAACTCGAGGGACAGATTCATGGGGAACCAGACGGACAGATGGACGAGAGCCATCCAGATGATCACAGACCACATTAGTGTTTAAACCTCAAAAATGAGGATCATACTCCTCGCTTCTCCTGAGCGTAACATTCCTGGACATGGAGCATGAGGGAATCTACACATCTCAGGCCACGAAGAGAAGGTAAGATTGGGGAACCACTCACATGGCATGTACTGTGCAAATGCTCTAAATGCATTATTTCACTCCACCTCCAAAACCTCAATGGGTAGGCACTATTAGTGTCTCCATTTCACAGATGGGAAAGTTGAGGCTTAAAGCAGTTGAGTAATCTCTGTCAGATCACTCACGAGCAGCAGATGGGAGGTGAAGCCCGGCAGCCTGGCTCTAGCACTGGGTTCCAACCTCTCCCCATGCTAAAAAACGGGCACCACCCCATCTAGAATTGCAGGCTTAGCCCCATCATTTCATACCCCCTGCTCTGCTTTACTTTTTATCTCTTTAGTAATTATCACTAACATAGCATATATTTTAACAACTTATCTTAGTGTTTTTTTCCCCCACTTCTCCCATTTCAACCTTGGAGAATGTCAGCTCCACGGTTGCAGGGACTTTTGCTTGTGTGTTCAGTGCTGTGTTCCCACCCACCTACCATGCCCCATCCCCCCCACGCCCACCCCCACCTCCAGTGCCTGGCAGGAAGTAGAAGCTTATGCAGTACTTGTTGGATGGATTAATGAACGAATGGTTGATTGGGGAAGCCTGTCAGCAACGCAGATGGCCAGCCCCTTTCCTTCCCTCCCACCACAGTGGCTCCCATAGGGAGTGGTGCAGGCTGCCCCACAAAGTTTTTGCCATGGGCCGATGGTGCCGGGCCGGCTCAGATGTCTTGGTGGGTCAAGCCAGGGGCCATGCTGGGTGGCAGGACCATCCCAAGCATCCCTCAGGGAACCAGAGAGGCAAGTCCAATGGGGCTGTCAGAACCCAGGGGGCCTTGGAGAGCCAAGGCAGAGGCAACAGGTTCATACAGGAGGGCAGCTGTGCCTGTCACGGAGCAGGGCTGGAGTTGGGGCATCTGTCACTGTGGCTGGGATCTACCTACTACCTTGCTGCAGAGCCTGAGAACTAGGGTCCTTGAGGACCCAATGGTGCCAGGGATGATGGGAAGCGTTGGCCAGCACCCTCGGGTTGCAAGTGACAGAAAGGTGGTCCAAACTGGCTTAGCAAAAAGGGGACATGAATCCCAGCCTCAGAAAGCAGACCCAACCTGGGGGACACATGGCCCCTGGGGCGTGAACTTCATTGGACCTCATCCGCCTCTCCTCTCTGTTTCTCCCAGGGGCTGGCCTCGTTCTCCGCCTGCTACAGGCGGACTTCTCTGGGTGTGGGGAGACCACGGCTAGCAGCAGCTCACATCTCACAGCATCTCTACTGGAGCAGGAAAACCGTCCCCACTCTCTGCACTCACAGACCCCAGCCTGGACACCTGCCCACTCCTGGACTAGTCCCTGAGGCCAGGGAGGTTCCCATCTTTGGCCTGCCCAGGGTCATGGTGCTGAAGAATGAGACTGGTGCTGGGAAAGGCGCCGCGACAGCCTCCACCGTCCTCTGGTTCTAGCCGCAGCTGCGGTGGACCATTGGCCAGGCTCCGACTCGCCCGGCTGCCAGGTCCCCTCTAGCACTCTGGCGTCCTGCTGCGTCCTGCTCCCAGGCCTCACCGACACCCCTGGGTCTTGAGCCCATGCAACCTGGAGTGCGGGGAGTCAGTGCCACCCGGGCGCCCCTGACTTATTTGGAAGAAGAATCCCTGGAGAATTGCTGCTGCCCCTCTCCTTCAGGGATCAGTTCCAGAACCTTCCTTCCACGTCTCAGTGGACCGGAGCCCCCTTTCCCCACAGCAGGGAGCAAGCGATGAGCCCTGGGCTCCCCTCCCAGGTAGACTGCCTGCACCCACATGCTTTCCAGGCTCTGATTGCCAGGACCTCACGCTCAGCCACGTCACCGAGAGGGCCCAGTGCATTTGGGAGACTGAAACATGGACACAAGGAGCAAGACCGCCCCCCGCGGCCGGGAGGCCTGTGTGCAGGGCACGGGTCTGGGACTGGATTTCGGGGTCGGGATTCTGACCTGGGACCAGCATGAGAGGAGCACTGAGCGGGCGCTGAGGCTGGGGTGCTGCATGAGCCGCTCCCGCCCGGGGAGCCAGAGGGATGGCCACTCCCAGAACTGGAGGCTCTCACAGCTGTCCTTTCTGCCATATGATGAGCACCTACGGTGTGCCAGGCATGGCGCTAGGTGCTTTGCTGGCAATAGACCAGGTGGGTGTCACGGGAGCCTCTTTGCAGTTGAGGAAGTGGAGCGTCCACGCAGCCATGAGTTCCCCGGGCAGATTCAGGCTCTCCCTAGCCTCCTTCTCTTCCTCTGGTCCTTGTTCAAATATCCCCTTCTCAGATAGGCCTTCCTGGATGTGACGCCATTGCAAATGGCGGCTCCGTCACTCTCCGATTCCTTCCCTGCTCCATTTTTCTCACAGCACTTAGCATTATGTGATAATTTAGAAGAACATAGTTGACATAATATCATTTCCTTGTCTGATTATTCACTCTCCATCTGTGTCTCTAGAATATACACTTCACGAGCACAGGGCTTCCCAGCTAAAACAGTACCAGGCCATAGTAAGTGTGCAATCGTTTCTGAGGGGGTGACTGAATGAATGAAGGAACGGAGGTAGAGTTCATTCTTCTCCTACTTCACCACAGTCACCAGCGTCCAGGTGCCAAGTCCTACACATTTGCTGCAATCCCCCCTCCAAGCAGAGACTGAAGGGGGCTCTGAGTCAGAGAGGATGCAGCCAGAGGAACTGGAGCTGGGCTGAGACCCCAGAAGGCACATCCTAGCTTCTTGGAGGCGGTGCTGTCCCGCCCTTCAGCCCAGCCGCCTCCAGGCCCCTGGGAAGTCCCTGTATTGGTGATAGGGGTGGGGTAGAGAGACAAGGGGGGCCTGCAGGGGTCTGTACAGGGTTAGGGCTCCCAGGGGCAGCTACCAGTGTACACAGTGAAGATGCATGTACGTATGTAAGTATGTATGTATGTACGTATGTACATATGTATGTATGTATGATGGGATAGAGCCCAGTTCTCCAGGACTGGGACCAGCACCTGCCATCTGAAAGATGGAATCCTGGAGCCACAGGACACACACGGGCCTGCAAAGAGCGTGTGAGTGTGGGAGAGACACAAACTGCAGTGTACGTTCCTCCCAGCTAACCGCCCTCTGCCCCATACATCACTCCTCTCTCTCTCTCTCTCTCTCTCTCTCTCACAGGCTGCTCTGCACTTGTCCATCCACCCTCTCTACCTGCTCCCTCTCTCCCTGTCCTGTTCCCTCCCATTCATTTGTTCAATAACCACGTGCTGAGTGAGCTCTGGGGACCAGGTGTAAATCAGCCTGGGGACAGGCCCTGAAGGGCCCATGGTCCAGAAGAGGAATCCGAAGCCCTAATATAAGTGTGGGGGCGGGGGGAGGTCCTGGGGCTGCAGGGACCCCAAACACAAGGAGTACAGATGGGCTCAGCAAAAGCTTCAGAGGGAGCGGACATTTGAGCTGGGGCTTGAAGAATAAGTAGGAGTTTGTGGGAGGAAAAGACAGGTAAGGAGTCAGCAGGTAAAGGCCCAAATTCAGTCTCTGCCACTCAGCAGCTTGGACCTCCTGCTGGCCCTTCCCCAGGGGCCTCAGCCTGCTTGTCCATGAACTAGGTAAGTGAGTCTCACCCCTCTCAGGTGCGCAAACCCCCAGCACAGGACCTGGCACAGAATGGTCCAGTGAACTGCGGTTTCCCCTCCCCACCAAGTGCCTCCCTCTTCCTGCCACGAGGTCCTCCCAGTGGCCTGAGAACCCCACATGATCTGCTTCCCTCTCCCCACTCCTCCCACCTCACTCCACTCTAAACACACTGGCCTCCCTGCTGTTTCTCCAACCTGCCTCAGGGCCTTTGCACCTGCTGGATTATCCCTCCACCTGTATTGTTCTTCCTTTATCTCCAAGGCTTAGTCTCTCACTTCCTTTAAGACTTTGCTCACATATTTTCTCAGTGAGGCCAACCAGCATTCTCCTATTTATGACCGCAACCCCCCCACACAAGACACTCACCCCTACTCCTGGACCCCTTTACTTGGCTTTGCTTTTTTTACTTTGTAGCATAAAATACACTTTTCTTGTTAAGTGTGACTATGATTTAGTATCTGTTCCCCCCAACCCCTCCTCCGAATGTCAGCTTCACCAGGTGGGGACTTCTGTCTCACTCACCCTGGAATCCCAGCAGGGTACACAGAAGCATCAGTGAGTGCTCAGAAAGTGAACAGAGCTGGTGAGAGGCTGGAGCCCTTTGTAACCCAAGTGAGGACGGTGAATCCTGGCCATCAAGATGACACACTTCACACACACTGCTAGTTTTGCACACGAGCAGTGCTGTGTTAGAAATCGGACACGTACTAAATCGATTTACTGCAAACTAAAAGATAAATTCACGCTGGTGTCTTTCTGAAGGAGAAGCCATGTCAGCAGCTGGCTCTCCACCCTCGCAGCTGAACGCGCCCGGGAAGGATTGCAGACATGGAGCGTTGGCTACCCTTGGCTTTGCTCTAATTGCTGCTAACCGCTCCTGTCCTCTGGGCTGCATTTACACTCTCCCCCAGCCCCCAGCCCGATTAATGGTTTTTTCTTTGGTCAGGAGCCGCAGCTTTAAAATCACACCCGCCTCAGTGTACTCTGTTACCTAGCAACAGCCATAAATCAACAGAACATGCTGGAATGTTCAAGCCAACCTCCCCGGCTGTTAGATGCTTCGGCTGTTTTTAAACCCAAACATGTTCATTTGCCCCCATGCCTCTTCTGCACCCACCTTTCCACCACTGGCTTCATAGAGTGCCCGGGTTTGTATATTTTTAAACTATCTTATGCCCTGTCTGATTTTGCAGCAGGAATCTTTTGTACTTTCTCCGAACTCTGGCCATTGCCCAGGAATGGGACCAGGCCTGTCTGTCCAGCCTGCATGCTTCCACTTCAGCCCTGCAGCCAGGGGACCTGGATCAACCCTGCAGAGTGTCTGGACACATGGGATCTCGGTCCTTATTGCAGGTCCCCAAATAGCCTGTCCACATGGTACCCTGGGTGGGTTGGTATGG